ACTTCCAACTCAGTAAGTAACAGAAATAAATAAGAAACTGAGAAGCAGTGACGAGCTATGCAAATACAGTTTATTTCAGTAAACTTCATCAAGAAATAGGCATGCTTTCAAATTCAACAGTTTAAGTAAAATCAGTTCATGCTCAAGTACCAGATTCAACTCTTTCAGAGAGTTACATAACAAGTACAGAAAACAGCTAAGCGCAGCAATAATGGAAAGCGAGTACAGTCTCTCAAGACACTGTCACTCAGCTCATCTCAGCGGCTCAATCACTCGGCTCTCAGCCCACAATAATCACACTCAATAGGTACCTGCGCTCACTGGGGGTGTGCAGACTCCGGAGGGGCTCCTTCAGCCCAAGCGCTATAATCCGCACGGACAACTCACGTGCTACACAGACAACTCACGTGCTATAGTATCAATATCAGAATCCGCACGGACAACGTGCTGCACTGACAACTCACGTGCTATAGTCTCATTATCATAATCCGCACGGACAACTCACGTGCTGCACGGACATCTCACATGCTATAGTCTAAATATCCTCACAATTAGGCCCTCGGCCTCGCTCGATCATCAATCTCTCCAGTCTCTCGGGCTCTCAAAAATCATATAAATAGCCCAAACAGAAATAATATCATGTATAAACAATGAACAGTAAGAGACAGAGCTATAAAAAGCAAGAAAAGCTATAACCTAGTACAAAACAGCAATTAACAGCTAATTCAGCAAGTACACGACCTCGCAAGTCTCAACAGTGATCACATAAGGCCTAAACATGATTTCTAACATTAAGTACAGTCAATTTCCATGAAAACAGAGGGAACATGTATTAAATAGTAGGACAATTGATTCCATAGTCTCACGGGACGAACCAAGTCACAATCCCTACGGTGCACGCCCATACGCCCGTCACCTAGCATGTGCGTCATAGTCATACGACTCGGTGTTCAGTGTTTCATACCCTCAGGACCAGATTTATAACTGTTACTTACCTCAATCAGAGCGAAATCCTATTCCGCAATGCCTTTGCCTCTCGAATCGGCCTCCAAACGTCCCAAATCTAGCCAAAAGTAATACAACACAATCAAAATATGCCAAGGAACCAATTCCACAAGAAAAACTACTTAATTGGACACAAATCCCGAAATCGACTCAAACCCGCCCCCCCGGGCCCACGCCTCGAAATCTGACAAAAGCTATAAAACCCGAAAGCCCATTCACTCATGAGTCTAACCATACCAAATTCATCAAAATCCGACCTTATTTGGTCACTCAAATCCTCAAAATCCGCTCTCCAATTTTCAAGTGCTAAATTCCCAAATTTCTAGCTCAAATTCCCAATTAGATGATGAATAAAGCCATAGATTCATGAAATTTATACCATTATAGGTTAGAATCACTTACCCCAATATTGCTCCTTGAAATCCTTCGAAAAATCGCCTCTCTCTTGAGTTCTTCAAACCCAAAATCGAAAATGGAGAACAAGTCCTCGAGATGGGGTTTTCTGCCCAGCAAAACCGCACCTGCGGTCCCATTTACGCATCTGTGGGACCGCATCTGCGAAGAGGGCTCCGCTTCTGCGGAATTTTATTAAAAGTCTGCTTCCGCTTCTGCGATTGCCTGACCGCATCTACGGTCATCGCAGATGCAGGGACCAAGCTGCACCAGCGATCCAACTGCGCACCTGCGCCTCAAATCCGCTTTTGCGTACCTCGCACCTGCGGTTCCCACTCCGCAGGTGCGGTTAAGACAGAACCAACAGCTTCAGCTGCATTTTCCAATTTCCAAACACTCCGTTAACCATCCGAAATCATCCCGAGGCCCTCGGGACCTCAACCAAACATACCAACAAGTGTTATATCAACATACAACCTTAGTCGAACCTTCGCATCACTCAAAACAGCATCAAAACACCAAATTACACTCGGATTCAAGCCTAAGAACTTCTAAACTTTCAAATTTCACAAACGACGCTGAAACCTATCAAATCACGTCCGAATGACTTCAACTTTTGCACACAAGTCAAAAATGACACTACGAACCTATTCCAACTTTCGGAATTCCATTCCGACCCCGATATCAAATTTCCACTGCCGACCAAAATTGCCAAAATTCCAACTTTCGCCAATTCAAACCAAATTCTGCTACGGGCCTCCAAATCACATTCCGAACGCGCTCCTAAGGCCAAAATCACCTAACAAAGCTAACGGAACCATAAAAATTCAAATGCGAGGTCATTTACACATAAGTCAACATCCGGTCAACTTTCCCAATTTAAGCCTTCACAAAAGAGACTAAGTGTCTCAATTTACTCCAAAACCACTCCGAACCCGAACCAACTAACCCGGTATGTCAAAATATAGTTGAAGAACACAAAAGAAGCAGGAAATATGGGAACGGGCTATAACTCTCGAAACGACCGGCCGTTTCGTTACTTCTATGTGGCACATTTCTCTGTTCAAGAAAACCATTTATTCTTTTTCTCTTTTTATTTTATTTTTATTTTTCTTCTCTTTAAAAAAAAAAGTGCTATGTTAAAGAACCCCAAAAGTCACGTCGCTTGGGTTAGGGCAATTAAGTTACAGCGGTCGAACAAGATGAGGCAACGATTAATCATAGAATGAATAAATTAAATAAAACAGATAGGTTCTAATAATACCTGAAGCCAATTAGTGTCCATAATGTATCCTTGAATGCGGTGACGATGGAAAGGATTATTCTTTGGCTTTTTCTCATATTTCCCGTCTCCTAAGAAAACTTCATGTGATCTCTTTTGGTTGCATGTTATATTCATTTTGTTTGAGTTTCTTTTATAATTGTTTTACCTTTTTTTTTTAATCAAGTTGAAGTTATTTTCCGACAATACATAAGTCGGTGCTAAATCTGTGGCGAACTTTTCGCTGGTTTAGAGTGCTATTTCACATGTTGCTCAAGAAATTGCTATTGATCAGCCTGATCAACAATATGACAAAATAATAATGAGAAGTGACGAGCAGCGGAGGTGTATTGAAAAAGAAAGGTAAAGAAGGGGCGATAATACGAGGAGAGAGAGAAATTGACAGAAAAAATCCGCTTATAGAGATTCTCATGCTTTTAAATTGCATTTCGATGAGCTTGGTCAAATTCATCGATTTGTTTTGTCCTGTGAAGATTATCAATATCCTTTAAGTAATTTGTAAAAGTTCATAATATGAGAATTGAAAATGACTATATTAGTTGCTAGCTATATTCCTCCTTTTGCTAGCGAAGCAGGATATAACATTATCTGTGGTGTGTATGCGTGCCATTCTTCTGCTTTACGACCATAAATGTCCATATCAAGACAATAATGGCGTCAAGCATCAACTATGGCTCATGTTGTTCATTTTTTATTTTTTTCAGAAATTCGGCAGGATTAGCTATAATTTTAACTAATTTTTAGAAGAAAGTATATAATGGCAGTTACCAAAAAGACTTTAATCTTTGCTTATAAGTATATATTAATGTAGAACAAGGAAATTTCTATTGAATACAGAATATCCAAAAATAAGTTTGGATTTTAAGAAGTTTATGTGCATGTAATACATGTGTCAAAATAAACCTTTTTTCATTTTAACATGTTTCTGCATATTGAGCTTGCTCTAGCTTATTTTTATGTTTTTGTAAGAATAAATATTTCTTTTCTTTTTGAGTTGGATAGCAGTAGAGATGATTGAACTATGAGAATCACATGAGGGATCCTATCAATACAAATAAAAAAATATATTAGTGCAACCCTAATAATTGTCATAGATAAATGACAAGGTAATTTAGTATTACTAATGTATTTTTCTTTATCATGACTAAGTTTGCAATAAAGAGAGTCATTTTGTAAATTCTTACAACCACGCGAAGCGTGAACAATTTCACTAGTTTAAAAATAAGTGTAGGGCATATAATCTTAGCCCAAGATTCATGCTACAAATAGTTATTACTCGGTAGAATTATAAATATGTATTCTTAAAAGGAAATTTTACCTCCTATAGCAAAGCTTTACACCTTATTTATTATGAATAAATATCCTTTAGCTAACGTGCGCTTGGAAGCCATGGAAGGGAGAGGCAGACCTAAGAAAAATCAGCAGAGGAATACGGCTAATGAGCAACGATCATCGGAGACGAGGAAAGCAGTACTTGAATTATTTGTGTCACCAAAGGGAGTTCGAATTGAAGACCAAGCTGGAAATCTCACTCCGAGGAACATGCAGAGTGAGATAAGCAAAGAGGAAGCAGATCCATCGCGGAATAAGGACAAATTGAAGACAATTGCAACTACACCTACAACTACTCAAGCTTCTGGAAGTGGATCTGGGAATGGGAAAGCTCAAGAGCAAGTCAGGAACAACACCAGCAATGGAATTGTACCATGCAACTATGGTACTGTTGAGAACAGCAAAAAATGATGAACCAACGACTGTCAAACTGAATCAATCATGGGCAAATGTTGTAGCAGGGAATAAACTAGCCATGAAGGGTATGAATCTACAACTTATGGCTCCAATCGTTCAAAATGGTGAGAAAATTGCAAAATTAGAAGTTGAGGATATCGAGCAGGAGAATGAAAAATGGAGATCTGCGATTGTTCTGTACGTGATAGGGGACTCACCTACAATTGGAGCTATGGAAAGATTTCTCAGCTCAGTAGGTAAGTTCTCAAGGAAGCCACAGATCTACTACCATAATGAGGGATATTTTGTGATTAGATTCAGTAATCTGGAGGAAAGGGACCAAGTGCTATACTATGGACCTCATACAGTGAATAACAAACCTATAATCATGAAGGCATGGACTGAAGATTTCTATATACATGATGAGGTATTGAAGACTATCCCATTATGGGTGAGGTTTCCCAATTTGCCTCTTAATTGCTGGAGCATGAAAGCACTAAGCAAGATATGAAGTGTTTTGGGGAACCCAGTGTATGCGGATGAATGTACCACTAGGACAATGAGGATCTCATATGCACGAATGTTAATTGAAATGGACATAACTAGGCCTCTGCCTAGAAGTGTGAAAGTGCAGGATCCTAAAGGGAGGCTAATTCAACAGGAGGTAGTTTATGATTGGGAACCAACATACTGTTCTAAATTTTTGAAAATAGGACATGATAGTACTGTGATAAGAAAGGAACAACCACAGAGAATGATCCAACAAAGGAAAGTAGCTACAGGCAAACAGGCGTGGCTAAGAACAGACAGAAATGGAGCTAATGAAAAGAAGGAAACAGAACAAAAGGAAATGATAGAAACTGCCCAGCAGAGAGAGTCTGAACCAACAGAGAAAGAAGTGCAAAGGAGGGATGAAGGGTGGATTACAGTACTTGGAAGATCAGCAGCGAGGGCAGCTAAGGCCAGACAAAATGAAGAGCAGGAAGTTGCAGGAAAACAAGAGGTCCAAAGCTTGAACAACAACATCAATTATGATGTACCAGGTACAAGCAAAATGCAAATGAGCAGTTAAGGGGAATAGGAGCTGTATTATAAACCTCTTTTTATACCAATATGAGTGTGATAACTTGGAATATTAGGGGTTTGAATAAAACATATAAGCAAAAGGAGGTGAGGGAGTTCATAAGAAGTAATAATAAAGCTCTAATAGCATTGGTTGAACATAGAGTAAATGAGCATAGAACCAATGACATAATAAAAAAAAATAGCACCTGGTTGGCAGTGGATATCAAATGCTAATCCAAGCAATAAAAGTAGAATATGGGTAATATGGGATCCTAGAATTTATAAATTTGATCCAGAAGAAGCTGATGAGCAGTTGGTACATGGACAGATTAGAATCATATCAAAGGCAATCACATTTGGCTTCTCAGCAATATATGGATTACATACTATCAAAGATAGGCTAAGCTTGTGGAGGAAGTTGAGACAGATACATAGTATACAACAGGGACCCTGGTTAGCAATGGGGGACTATAATGCTATTCTTCAAACATAGGATAGACAGCATGGTACTGAGGTACAAGACATAGAAACAAGAGATTTTAAGGAATTTCTGCTTGATACAGGGATGCATGAGCTACAATATATGGGAAGGAATTATACACGGACTAATAATCACACTTCTAGTAGAATAGACAGGGGTCTGGTAAATGCAGACTGGATGATGATAATGCCTAATATGAAAGTGCAGGTCCTAGAGCCATTAGTGTCTGATCATTCACCATTAAAGCTAATGATAACACAAGTACAGGGGAAGAAGAAAACCATTCAGATTCTTAAATTGTATAGCTGACCATCACCAATTCATACAGAAAGTGGAACAAGCCTGGGAAGAAAGGAGTACTGGTGGTATGATGCAAATAGTATGGAACAAGCTAAAGAAGGTAAAGGAGGTTATTAAAGAGATTAACACAAAGCATTACAAAGGAGTAGATGAGAGAATAAAAAGGATCAGGGAGGAGCTCCAGTCAACTCAGAAAGAAATGAGTTCCAATCTACAGAGGCAAGACCTAATTGAGAAGGAAAAAACACTAAAGGGAGATTTAGAAAAATGGATACTGATTGAGGAAAGCATATATAGACAAAGATCAAGAGTACAATGGTTGAAGCTGGGTGATTCAAACTCAGCTAATTTCTTTGCTCAGATGAAGAATAGAAGTAATTTGAATGGAATACAGTTTCTAACTAATGACATGGGGGATCAGCTAGTGTTGGAGGATGATATTGAGGCAGAAATCATGGGGTACTACAAGAAGTTATTGGGCTCAAGTGCAGAGAGTCTTCCAGCTATTAATCCAAATGATATGAAAATGGGACCAGTATTGAATAGGGAACAACAATTGTTGCTTATAAAGCAAGTGTCCAAGGAATAAATATGGGAAGCAATGAAGGATATTAGTGATCTCAAAGCTCCTAGATATGATGGGTTAAATGCTGTTTTCTTCAAGAAATCCTGGCCAATCATTGGTCAGGATGTGACAAAGGCTGTACTGGAGTTTTTTGAATCAAACCAAATGTTCAGGTTTATCAATTGCACTGCCATTACCTTAATTCCAAAAGTTAGAAACCCTACAAGCATCAAAGAATATAGGCCTATCTCATGTTGTACAGTCTTGTACAAAGTGATATCAAAGATCCTTACCAAGAGGCTACAAAGTGTAATGGACATACTGATTGATAGTTCACATGCAGCTTTTGTTCCTGGCAGAGTAATCACAGACAATATTATTCTGAGCCATGAACTTGTGAAAGGATATGGGAGGAAAGGGGTATCACCTAGATGTATGATGAAGTTGGATATGCAAAAAGCTTATGATTCAATAGAATGTGACTTTATGGAGCAGATATTACATGCATTAGCATTCCCAGAACAGTTTGTAAGATGGATCATGACATGTATGAGAACTGTTACATATACAATCATGATAAATAGTGCACTAACTAAGCCATTTTGTAAGGCCCCGTGAAAAATGTGTGCTCAAAACCCAGTAGCTTGTAGCGTCAGGGTCCGGATATATGTTGGGAATGTGTAAAACTCTTCGCGGCGAGCTTGCTCACCGCGGCTCGGACCCATTATACTGATCTAAGTGTTTAAAAATCAAAGAACCAAGTTTTTCCAGAAAAGTGCTATTTTGCGATCCAGGATGCGGTCGCAAATCAAGTATGCGGATCGCATTTCCGCCGCATAATGAGTCAGTGGTTTGGTTATCATTAAGGTCAAAATACGATCCATTATGCGACCGCATAACTGATATGGGGACCGCATTTCCACCGCAAAATGAGTCAGGGTGTCAGTCAAATTTGAGGTCAAATATGCGGTGCATTATGCGATCGCAAACCGTGTATGCGGACCACATTTTCTCCGCATACCCAAACCTGACTCGGACTCCTAATTTTCTAAATTTTAAACCCGACCCCCTTTTAATAAAACACCCCAACCCCCTCATTTTAAACAAGTTTCTGAACAAAATAAGAGAGAGGAAGAGAGGGTTCTTGAGAGAGAAAGTCACCTTCTTCAAATTTGACTCTTCCGAACCATCCGGGCCGGGAAATTTCAAAGCGATTATCTTCATCCCCATACTTGCAGGTAAAATCCCTAACCCATTTTCATAGGTTTTCAGGTTTAATTAAGGGGGGGGGGGGAAGTCTCATGCATTGATTCTTGATAATAGAGGTTGAAACATACATGCATGCCTTTTTAAAACCTAAAATCTAGTAAGAGGAATTGGGTAGGAGTATAGAATTATACAAAGGAGGGTTAGCAATCTAAATGTGTTCGGGTTGTGATTGTGAACTTTGATTCTAAGAAATATGTGTTAATTTGTGCACTAGATTGACGTTGCTAGACTTTTGGTGAAGTTGAAAGTAGAAATTAAAAGGGAATTCGGCTCCAGGTATGTATGGCTAACTTTGACCTTTGTAAAATCACCTTGTTTGGTGTTCGAGTGCTTGGTATGTGATTTCTACGTGGATTGTCTGTGAAATTTTTGTGATTGGTACGGTTGAGTGTTTGTGGTTATGTCTTTCGATATAATGATGTAAGTAATTGGTAATAAACCAAGTGTGTGATTGTGAATGTGCTATGTGGTAAGAATTGTGAAACAAATGATGGAAGGAAATGGTAATTGATGTAATTGGACCAGCTGAGGTAATAACATATATGTCTTGTCGGGGGAAATTCTCGTTGTAACATGAAAAGCATATGAGATGTGGAATACGATGGAAATGGTATTGATGTCTATGGAAGTTCTTGTCAATTGTTGTTGTTGCTCTTTGAGAATTGTTGTTGTTATTCCTTGAGAATTGTTGTTGTTCTTTGTGGATTGTATTTGTTGTGGTATTGTTTGTGAATTGTGATTGTTCGGTGGGATCGGTTTGCGCACCGCAACACGAAGTAATAAGGTGTGGGTTGTGGTGATAAGGGTGGCCGAGGTAATAAGGGTGGAAAGTGATCGAAATCACAATTGAAATGAAAATATGAGAAAGTTATGAAATCATTGATGTGAAAAATGTTGAAGGGGAAATGGAGAGATTGTTTGGCTTGATTGTTTCCTTTCATGTATAATTGATTGTTGATTCCATTATTACGTGTTACTTGTGTATGGTTTGAGTTTGCTTAGGGCAAAGTTTGTTCATACATACCAGTACAATTCAAATGTACTGACGTCCCTTTTGCCGGGGACACTACATTCGTGTTATGATTGTAGGTGGATCAGTAGCAGGTACTCCACTCCACCGACCATAGCTCCTCTTCATCTTCCGTCAGCTGTATTGGTGAGTCCCTTTCCTTCGGGGCCCTGCGTGGCTCAGGCCGCTGTTTACTCCGGAGTCTTATTTTGGTTTTATGTGTAAGGTATAGCCGGAGCCTTGTTCCCGGCAGGTACTGTATTATCCTTTTGTATCCTTAGAGGCTCCGTAGATAGGAAATGTGGGTTACAAACTTATGTAAAAAATGTATTTTGTATTTTGGGCAATGTAATTTGTAAACCACGCTAGGTAATCATGTTTGTCATTGTATATTTTGTAAGAAGGTGTTTTAATTATAATGACTATTTCTGATTAATGAGTAATGAAAATACGGGGTAACACGTGGGATAGGAAAGGCACCCAGGTCCGCTTGGCTGGGGCTACCCGGTCGAGCGCCGGTCATGTCCTTCGGTTTTTGGGGCGTGACACATTTGATGCTAGGAAGGGATTGAGGCAAGGGGACCCCCTTTCACCTTTTCTATTTGTGCTTGCAATGGAGTACTTGACAAGGAAACTAAAGAAACTGGCTGAGATCCTGAACTTCAACTTCCATCCCAAGTGTGCTAAGATGCAATTCTTACAACTTGGTTTTGCTGATGATCTCTTATTGTTTTGCAGGGGAGACATTGGATCAGTCAAAATATTATTCCAATGCTTTATGAAGTTCTCAAAAGCATCTGGATTGCTGATTAATAAAAACAAAAGCTCAATGTTCTTTGGAGGAGTCACAAATGAAGCGTAGGAGGAGATCCTAGAATTTCTAGGAATTCCGAGAGGTGCTCTACCAGCCAGATACCTTGGTGCACCACTGAGCTCCAAAAGAATATTCATAGCACAATGCCAACCACTTATTAATAAAATAATGGGAAGAATTACTTCATGGGCTGCAAAATTCTTGTCCTATGCAGGAAAGATTCAACTCATAAAAAGTGTTCTGTTCTCCATCCAAACATACCGGGCCTAAATATTTGTTCTGCCAAAGAAGATTACAAAAATAATTGAGGCAATGTGCAGAAGTTTTCTATGGACTGGACAAGGTACAATTTCAAAAAAAGCACTATTAGCATGGGAGAAAATATGTCTGCCAAAGTCAACAGGTGAATTTAATGTCATGAATATAGCAATCTAGAACAAAGCTTCTATATGTAAGCAATTTTGGAATTTATGTAAAGAGAAGAAAAGGTTGTATATACAGTGGGTACATGGCTATTATATTAGAGGAAGGAACATCTGGACAATATAGTTAAAGCAAGCTTCATGGATGGTAGGTAAGATCATGAAGGCACATAAGACTATGATGGAAGCAGGATTCAGCCAGGATGATATCACAAATATGAACAACTGTTCTGTCAAACAAATTTATCACAGGCTGCGAGGTACGTTTGAGAAAGTAAGTTGGAGGAAAGTAGTTTGTCACAATGGAGGATGTCCCAGATGGAACTTTGTACTAACTATGACAGCACATGGAAGATTATACACAAAGGATAGATTGCAAAGATGGGGAGTATCAGTTGATCAAGACTATATCCTATGCAACAGTGATAAGGAAACCATACAACATTTGTTCTTTGAATGTCCATATGCAAAAGTACTGTGGAGCAAACTTTTAGAATGGCAAGGCATTGGCAGGCCAGTACAAGGATGGGATGAAGAGCTAAAGTGGGCAGAGAAATGGGCCAAAAGAAGAAATGCAACAGCTGAATTATACAAAATGGTGTTGGCAGCTACAATTTACTATGTGTGGCAGGAAAAAAATGGTCGAATCTTTAAAAATAAGACAAGAGGATGGGAGACAGTTTGCAAGCTGATAACCCAAGAGTACACTGTCGTAGCAATAAGAGAGTAGAGAAATTTTGCAGAGTTTAAATTGGTATCCAATGTAATAGCTGTACATGATAAATAGGTGGTATGGGGAGAAGTTAGTTTGATAGGCAAGTATGTAAGGGTTTAATTTACTTTGTAAATATTTTCCTTGGTAAATGACAGATTTAATTACCAAAAAAAATATCCTTTTAAAATATTATTTTCTATAACTATCTTTTAGGTTTTATAGAAAAATATGTATTTATGGTAACTTCCTACTTTTTAGCCATTAAATACGCTAGGGAATACTTTTCTCTCTCATACTTTATGTTCTTTCTCTCACAAGACCACCGTATAGTATACAACTTCAGAAACCAAGATCTCTCCACAATCTCTCTCTCTCAACGCCAGTCTCTTCTCCATGAATACAACCACGATTCTCTACTTTTTACATTTACGTTTTGATATGTATTCTGAAGCATGGTAGAAGCCCTTGGACCAGCAAAATTCTATGGTAGCAGCCTCCCTAGGCCACGGTTTTACAAGACAACGAAGAGCGAGTGGATCCGCCAGTCTCCGTTATTGATCCATTAATGTCATGGGCGGAGGAAGCCCACTGGTCCATGGGTGGTGTGAGCTTCACGTGCCACTGTCTTCAGGGCCGCATTGAAGGCAACATCGAGAAGCTACGCGCCGAGCTTGAAATGGCGGAGAAGAAGTCTGGCAAAGAAACCCCTACTAAGGGTTCGACTCCGTTTCCTGTTAGTCCATCGCCTCCTCCTGCTCCGTATGTATTGAAACTTATGGATGATGATTCAGGGGTTAAGGAAAAAGATACTTTATTTTCATTGTATTCAATATATCTCGCTGTATTTCGTGTATTTCATTGTATTCATTGTCTTTAGTTTTTTTCTACTTTTTTAATATATTCATTGTATTTAACTGTATTCAAGTTAATTATATAATTTCAAAGCTTCACTTTGTTTCACTGTTTTGTCCAGCAGTATATATTCAACAATATATTCAATGTATTGTAGAATGTATTCATATGTTTTTTTAATTAATATAATTTATGTATCCAGATGTATATATGTATTCAAATGTATTTGCAGTATGTATATTCATACGTTTTGCATTATAGATGACTTGCTATACTTCATGTATTCAATGTATTGTATGTATTTAACTGTATTCAATGTAATTATATAGTTTTAATATATAAGTCTATTTCTAAAGATACCATTAAAAAATATTTTAGTTAAGATTCCACTAAAAAAAAAGAAAGGATGGATTGAATCTCTGAAGATTGCTATGTTTTTGGGGTATTTTTCGGCTGAGAATCTTTTCTATAACTGGAAATACAAATTTTGCATGTTATAATTGAGTTTGTTGAGTTATATCAGGAGTCTATCGCGTTAATTGATTCACTTACCGTTTTTAAACAGATGAAGGCCTTTTTTTTCGTAGATTTTCGTTACTGTATTCACGAATACAACTTGCAAATACATATGAATACAGTCTGTGTTTAGCTGGACTTCCTTGTTTTGCGCCGAATTTTGCTACTCATGAATACAGTAGCTTGAATACATCAAATGCACTCTATAACAAGTGAAAACATAATTATAGGAGTAATTAAGTAAATGATAGTTATAGCAAGTCAATAACCACTAAACAATAGTCATTTCTGAAAATGTAAAATACTTGGAAAGCCATTGAAGATGTTAAATTTTACATAAATTTTATGTGGTTATTGTTGAGTTTTCTGTATCTTATTACATACTATTACTAATATTTTAGTACATATAGCTAAAAAATTTCTTTTACTCTTTTAATTCGAAAAGAAAGAAAGATATCTGTCAATAGGAAGTTGAACACGTGCCGAATGAAAAGTAGCATACCAGTCAACACAAATTATTTTGAAGTTGTACCATAAGTTTGCTTGAGGTAAAAGAACATCTCTTAAACGATTCTGAACTCATTCTTTTCTCCGTGTCATGGTTTTAAACAAAATTTCACTTTATTCATTAGTGCAAAATGACTTGTCTTACTTGCAAAATCTGCTGAAGACTACCTGATCGAAAAATTGTCCAAAATGAAAATACTATTAATGTTTATTCGTAAAATAGTACAATTGAATTTGTTACGTGGTCAATAGACAAGAGAATTGATTTGATCCAAAAAAAAAAAAAATAAGAGATAAGATAAATATCAAGATTAACAATTGAAATTGAAGAAGATGACAAGCCTGACTCCGAACACAGTGTCTCGAGAGCAAAAATGTAAGTAACAATAAAATGAAAGAAATCTGTTGATCTTAAAACAAAATAGTAAAGTATAGTCTTTTTTGTATAGAATGTTTCGTGTGTTTACAATGGCTGCTGAGCCAACTATTTATAGCTCTACCAAGGGAAACAAGAACCTAGGATCAAGTTGCTCTTAAATATAATAGAAGAGTCATTGATAAACATGTAACGACAGACCATGAATGCAGATATTCTCTGTAACGGTCACTCATTTAATGTGAGATAATATTCCCTCATTGAATACTATCCGATGGCAAACCCTTGATCTTCTCCCGTTGGCTATGCTCCCTTTGGGATTTACCCGAAGTTTATTGCATTCGTTGTATCCGGTATTGGTTGTTACCTGACTTGCCTTTCGTCCTATCATCGGTTCCATGTGTCATGTTACCATTCGACCATTTGTCATAAAGCAATTTTACCCCATACAGATAGTCCCCTATTTTTCGGTGACATGTCTTAGTGTTACTGGAAAGTTGGTGAAGATTCCTTTCTTGACAGAAAAGTTCCTGAACAGTCTCTGACGCTTGAAAGGATGCACATCTTCTCGCATTTAATACCCCAAACACGTGTTGCCCAACGGTTCAACAAATATTTTCGCCAATTTTTGAGGTAATCATGGCCATAATTTTTGCCGTCTATAATTTCTACTGTACTCAACATTTTTAATTCTTCACTTTTACAACTTTCACAAGTCTTTTCTTCTTCTCTGTATTTTCTTAGAAACCTTCTCTCAACCTTCACTTTTTTCAGCAAGAATTTTACTATCCTCTTGTTACCATGGCCTTTTACACTCCTCTCTTCGGGAACAGTGGCCTTCTCTTCGGTGGAGGCCCAAAGAAAAATAAAGACAAGGAGGTTGATGTCAATTCCGACCCTTCCACTATCAGCACCATCATACCACATCATCTCAACACTGCAAATGACTTTCAAGAGAAAGCTCCTTCTGCATCTTCACGGATTTGGCCAGTTAGTAGGTGTCCCTCCTCCATTCGCCCTTCTAGTATCTCAGCTGTGAAGGAGGACGACAACTTCCCCAATCTTGAAGTCATCACCCCGGATATGATAGAGCGGGTTACCTTCACCAAGGAGGGGTTTACGTATGTCTATAAGTTTTGGTTTACCTTGGGTCCATTTTCCTTAGGGTCGAGTGAAGGACTTGACCCAATAATTTTGGAGTCCATCAGTATTAGGTCTGCTTAGCACAAATAGGCCTATCTATATGGCAAACAGTGGCCTGCCTTCGCCAACTGTGCATGAAGACCGGGGAAACCCTAACCCTTGCACACATGATGAATCTTTACTCGCCCAAAAATTTTCATGGGGGAGTAATAGACTTGAGAAAACGTGGACACCATGCTCTTCTCACCAGCGTAGATGATGACAACGATCGTGGATGGATGAATCGATTTGTCATCATTGCTATCAGGGATATCATCCCAGCCACAACTCCATCTTTCCCTAAGTCGTGGAATCACTTTCGTAAGTTTTCGATTATCCATTTCCTTCGTGAAAAAATTATTATCCATTGTTGCTGATTTTTCTTTTTTCTTTTGTTTCAGCTACCCGATTGGAACCACCACGAGTTCAAGGCCTAGACCAGTGGGTTTAAAAATTTCTGGAAATCACGACTCTAGAATCCAGCCGATGGAAGGAGATGTCTCCTAAATATGGGTAGAAGGCCAAAAAATACGGTAAATCAATTCTTTCTTCCTTTTACCTTTGTATGAACACAAGTAATCTCATGAAAAAGTTGCTTACTCCACTTTTTGCTTGATTCAAGACTTCCAAGGGGTTCTATCGTCTTCCCCGAAATCGACGTTTTAGAGGACCCTGATGAGGCTAGAAGGGTAATATAAGGTGCCATTGTCTGAAGTAGAGCTCGTGGATCTGCTTCCAGTGAGGGTGCTTCCTCTCGAAGTCCCCAACCAAGGACAAGAAACGAAGAGAAAACGTCCCTCCTCGGCTGGGACTCAAGAGAAGAAGGCAAAGAATTGTCGGCCACAGTGGTCCTCGTTGACACACAAGAAGCTAGTGATGGAGAGACTTCCCTTAAAAGGAGGAAAAGATCTTCATCAGCTCAACCGGATGCTCAGTCGAGGGAGTTTCAAAACCCGACCGAAGAAGAAAACCATGCACTTTGGGGTGAAATGGACCTGGTAGAGAATGTTGATTCTCTCTTCCCTGCCTCCATTGTTGTTTCCGGTCCAAGGAGTTCGGACCCTGGGTCTCTTTTGCCTTCCACCACTGAGCAAGTAATAACCAACTCTTCTTCTGCCATTGTTGCTTCTTCACCTTCCACACCGATGGGTTCACGCCCATCGACACTAGCTGCTCCCTCGCCACCAGCAACCACTACATCTCCACCATCGGTACCATCTGAGCAAGAAAGAGACACCTCTCCTCCTCGGTCTCCTGTTCACGGGAACTTGGGCATGATTATTCACTCCCTTCCCCAGATCCTCGAGGGAGGAGAAACGCCACTTTTTCAGTTTCAAAAGAGTGCCATCTCTTATCCAAGTCGATAGAGATTGCGAACTATCTAAATCTGCTAGCTTTTGGAGAGAGACTGGAAGAAAATGCGCTCTTTTTTCGGGGAGTGTTTAGTGAGCAATGCCGTGCATAGCGCGGAGCAGGTATCGTACTAGTTTTCTCGTACCTTTTTTTTCCTTCTTACATACTGCAATGGAAATTCTAACTTTAGTTTTCTTTTTTACAGGCCAACTTTCTTGGTTCTGAAGGC